AATAATAATTATCAATTATATTGTATTCATTGAATAGATTAAATCGTAAGTAATGAAATGACATGTACAAAAAAAGGTAACATATGATTTGTTGTTATAACAGATAAACTCAGTTTCTACGAATAGAAGTTTGAAGGTTAACACTCTGCGAAGAATAGGCTATGATTTATTTAAAAAAAATAATAGAGATCGTTAATAAATAAATGCAGTCAACTGAAGGCGGGATAAGTCGGTAGTCTACATTAAGCGGCGGTGTGAGCAATGATCACAAAATGATTCATGTAGCGACATTGAGCGTCGTTTATTTAGGACGCGTCGCGGCTGATGCGCCGGCGCCGACACATGGCGTGTGGCCTCGTGTTACACTGGACTAATATATGTATATGTCCAATATGTCCAGACTGACTTGTGCCTACGACTTTGTCTGCTAAGATTCATGAGTATAAAAAGTAGCCTACGTACTTCTCCATCCAAATTGTTGTATATCCTTTATTGGACTTTTAAGTATATTATTAAGTATGTTAACCTGGTCACCCTGGTTCGGATACCCAGTACAGTACAGTAGGCACCGGTTCTAACATTAAATTTACGTACCTAATTGGCTCTGTTACACTGTTATAAATAAAATTAAAGAGGTCAAGCTTTATTAATTAGAAACGAGGTTAGCAAAGGAGAACATTTGTAAAATAGTAATCTTAGAGAGATTTCATCCCGTCAACCCAACACAGCGGGACAAAGGAAGTAATTCCTGGGTAACGGAAGTGCAAGGAATAATTTTGAGAAATGTTACATTATGTATATGCCAAATTTCATGATGATTTATTAAACCCTTAAGGCTTGGAAACGTAAAAAATCGTATCAATTTCACATTTATAAATATATAAACAATCGATGTGTTTTTATGTAAAAAACCCATTTAAATTAACAAGAACGTTTTTTAAATTAGCTACACTAATTTATTAATAGAAATCTAGCCTTACCCACTGTAAAGAATATTATGGAGCTATAACAATGGAAGGAAATGCTTCATTTTTACAATTCTCCATTGAGTTGAAAAAAAAAAGACAAATGGTATTAGAATTTTATTTGTTTCTCCAAACAATGTTTACTTCCGATGCACAGGTAGTTTTATGTTTATTTATGCACTGTAGAAACGAACACATAATTTCTTATAAATTTTGGTAAAACAATTAACATAAATTAAATTGTATTAGATAAAGATGAATGTAGGAGTCAACGCTGTGTCCTGTAAAAAGAACCATCATAATATCTGCAAAATTGACGTGCAAAAGAATGTGCAAAACCTAAGTTTTATATATTTTAAATCTACTGATATAGAACATCTGCTATTCTGCAAACGGTTAAACCACCATCAAATATAAGTACAGACACAAAGAGACGAAAAATACATATATTATGAATAATAACAAAGAAGAATAGAAAGATGCTTGTTTGGTTTTTATTATGGCAATGACAGAAGTTATATATAAAATAATAAGTAATATTAATACTTATATTTTAAATACGGATAAATGAATATACAAAACTGTCAATGGAACTCATTGTATGTTTAATAGTACAAGTAAAGAATACACCTTTTAGCAGTAAAAGAAAATGGAGTAGTAAAAGAAAATGTACAACACTGAACATATCAAACTGTTCATAATCGAGTAAAAGTAACAGATACAGTTCTTTCTCGCATAACCATGAATACGGATACTAGTACAAGTATCTGCTACATCCACTAGTAGCGACACGATAAATGGCCTACGAGTAATGGCCACAGGGTATATTTAACTAATATATATGATGTATTTATCTAGATACTAAGGCGATATATAAGGGAGAAGTGAATGGACCAGAGTCTCGACGGCGACCTCGACCAAATTAGCGATATTGTGAACAGCGGGCACGTTAAGGCCCTCCGTAGACAAGGGCCGATTCCCCGGAGTACTGTTTTGTATGATAGCATTGAGAATCGGTTGTTCTATGGGGAACTTTAAAATCTTCTAATTATCTTAAAATTAAAGTAAATATGAGTTCTATTAAATACATAAATAACCCTGGACTATTAACACAGCGCCATCTAGTCCCATAGTAAGCAGAACTTGTTTTATAGGTACTGATATAAAATTCTTTAGATATATTTTTTTTGTAAATACATAATATACCTAGAAAATTCTAAGACCTATACAAAGTTATGAATACAAATGTTTGCACCGTGCGAGGAACGGAATCCACGACCAACGAAGGAAATCGGTGTGTTAAACCACTACACTACCGAGGCCGTTCCTATTGATTGCAAAAATTATCATTAAAATCTAGTTTTCAATAAAGTCTTAGGTAGTTAAAAATTTAAAAAAGATACTATAGCAATATATGCAGAGGTAAAACAAAAGAATTTAATTTCATAATTTTACCTATCTATGTTACAAATTCGCACTAAGAAAAGTTCTCAGAAACTTGCAATCTCTTTATTAAAATAACAATTTAAGCTTTTAGTTGTCTGCCTATAGATAAAATCTAAGTTTGAAAAGGTCAGTTCTAAAGCATTTTGTTTTCAGTGAACATAAAGGCATCACTTAACTATTTATTTAACACCGACCTTCCACAACAACGGAATCAATTAATTGTGACATCTACGAATATCTGAACAATAATGTTAATTACGAAATCAATTTATCAATTCGCTTACGTTCAAAATGTTTATTTATCTTCGTCAATTACAAGGTCTTGATATTCCTGATCATGATGTGTAAGATCAATTTAATTGAGCCATAAATGGACCCCTTCCTTATTAGGGGTTACGATATTCGCATTTAGAGATAATATTTGTATGACTCGTCAAATATTTGTTAGAAGTCACCATCCAAATAGATCAGAGAGAAAATTATGCTTAGATTTTATATGTATTCTTTATTGCACTTAAATACATTTTAATTAGAAATGTCAGCAATCCTTTGTTACTTGGACTTATCTGTAAAAGAGATCTATTCCAGTTAACCCAATAGAGCATACATAGGAAGTGTTGAGTGGGTCAAATTGTGAAAATAAAAATTTAATAAAAATGTTATTAATAATTAAAACTAAACGTAAAAATATAATGTCCAAAATACAAACACCGATTTTGATTTTGTTACCATTGGCCTCTTAATGATAGTGGATATACTTATTCACGTGGATACCTTGTAAATATTAATGATACAGTTGTGAATAGAGCTGCGTAAATAGTACGCGTGGGCACTGTACCAATGTTTTACCTATTTCTATCATAAAGTAACAATATGCGTTTCTGTGATTTACTTTATTATATAATAATAATAACCTACTATACTATATATACTTTTTTATATAATAATAATAAACCGGGATATTACACAGCGCCGTCTAATCCTACACTAGCAAAGCTGTATTAGGCGTACTATTAATTAATATTAATACTTTTTTTCTGTTGTAATTGCATACGTAATACACAGAAAACATCTAGACCAATACAAACACTCATACTAAATGTTTGTATCCTGTAAGGAATCGAGCCCGCGACCATCGGAACTAAAGCGATGTGCTAATCCGCTAGAGACCACCGAGACCGTCAAGTTTTGAAATAGAAGGAATTTATATTTCGCTCTAACGTATCCTAAATTAGTTACTAAAAAGATATATATATATATATATATATATATATATATGTGTATTTATATTGTGTCACGACAAGAGGTAATTAACAAATGGGCACCCAAACTTGGCAGATAAATTCACAAAGTCGAATCTCGACTGCCATAATTATTCCGGATTGTTAGTAATATATATCATATCTCTACTGAGCTGAATCTAGATCTAGCATGTCAGAATCCTAGATTTTTCTCCAATCTATCAAAACAGTCATATTGCTGTTTAAGTAATGTTTATACAACGAGAAGAGCGTGTGGAAATAATACAAAAATACATAGATAAATTAGTATTTTTACGGCCGCAATAAATATTTAAGATGCCAAGTAAAACTTTAGAGGAAATACAGTATTTTAAAAATTGAATACTTGAAATATGGTAAGGCATTTACAAATGGCATCATTAATAAATAGTAGTTCTTGAATTGATAATTATAAGGCAAGTAAAGTGACAATATTTATAAGCAAACAATAGAGGAATGGAGAGAAATGCCGAACAATATAGTGTGGGGATACCATTCCAAGGTTATCCAACTGAAGCAAACAGTAGCAAGACAGCGAATGTTTCCAGTGCAAAAAGTAGCCGACCGAGTCCTGTAGACAAGTGTAAAGCAGTTAGTTACAAAGAGTGATAGAATTTAAAATGTGTAAACGGCTTTCTGAAAGTTGTAAGAGTAATAAGTAAATTGTAAAGTAACAAATTAGGTAGTATACGTTATGCAGAGGATAAAAAGCAAAATTATAGTGTATTGATTTTATTAATGTTATATTAAATAGAATGAAAGATGATGTCTTATGTAAAAAAGAAGAATAAGTTATTATAATATATTAGTGGAAAAGTAAAATGCATTGCATCTACCAGATCCTTTAACAACGATATAGCGTAAGCAAATCATTACACGATAATAATTAGTAATAACATTAATTTTTTCATTAACAGTGATGGAATAAGATAGAATAATGGATATATTCATGCTATTGTCTATCTTTATTATGCAACTGTTATCGGAAAATTTAAATTTGTCATAAAAAATCTTTTGTGTAGTTGTGTGTTGTTTTTCCTGCGTCATTCAACTGACTGTGACATACGTGCTGTAGTTAGCACCTCATAATTGTACATCTGAACTATCATAGCTTTCATTAGAATACTTCAGATTACAAAGTCATCATTTAAGTCTTCATATATATATTAACTAACTGAGAATTTTGGTATGGAACGATATAAAAAATATATGTTGTAATATTCTCATACCAAAAGCTCTAGTTCTGACTCAAGATAAAATGCGTTCATGTTATACAAATAAGATGTTAACTTTTGCTGTTGTTGTGCAGGTGACTGGCAACAGGGACCACGTGAGCCAGCAGATCCAACACAAGCTTGGCGATTACCATCTCGCGCAGTCCCTCATCGACGACCCCAGCAAATCTATCGGCATATACGCAGAGCCACCCAGTCCAGCGCCATGTGAGTACTTTATTCTAGTATCTAATAGTATTAGAACTTTATCTTAACTAAAGAAACTAGATGTTTCCTACGGATTTACCTTTAGTGTAGTTTTGTCGTTACAATTTTCTAAAATTCTTTTAGAATCTTAGAATTATTTAGAATCATTTTCTAAACTTTGTGCTTTTGGCTGTGCGGTGATAATCAGGATCAACAATTTTATAAGTTTGACTTCAATTGCAGTATACGATCTCTAATTAGCGATGGATTTTTCTGGGACTAGATTGCATTGTATGTATTGTACAGGGATATTATTGTTATCAGATTGGTCCATCTTCATGTATAAGAAGATAACATATGATATTGTTTGACGATTTTTGTAGTACATGTGAAATATTGTCGTGGATTCACCTGGATCCGATTACAATTACCGACAAAAGACATAATTGTAGGTAATTTACTCTTGTGGTCAAAATACAATTCTGTTTACGCAAAACGTTTTGCTACGATTCTGATAAGTTCAACCCTTAGAGGGTTGATCTATATCCGCGTTGGTCTTCAAAGCCTCCCAGTAAAACGTGTATCTTTCTGCCACATTCGCACAGATGGACGGGTTGTTTCGTTTGATCATTTACTCTACTGGTGGCTATGTTGGGTTCAAAGATACGGAAATCACTCGAGTGGAAATTCCATTTAATTCGCCATAGATTCGGTTGCAAGGGTACCGAGGCGAGGACTATGGTTCCTGATTCCTCAACTTAGATTTCCAATATCTACCCATCTCGATGGTTACATTACTCGGATATGTTGTTTGATGTCGTCTCTGATGCAGTCCCATTTATGTCAATTTGTTTTTATATAACAATAGTTTTTATACGCACTTTGTCCGCTTAACCCGATTATCCATATTACGATTTTACTAGCTTCGTGAGTTATCAATTTCAGACAGAAATCAGCTTCCTCTTTATTTTTACATAGTATAAAACAAAGTCGTTCTCGCTGTCAGTGTGCAACGGGTTGTAATGTTCCAGCAATGGATATAGTTATTCAAAAGGAAGTTTTATGTGTATAATACATGTACACCCGTGCGAAACCAGGGCAGATAGCTAGTTCTCTCTCTAAAATAGTTTCAGTTGAAAGAGACAACGCTAAAATTATATTTTTAAGGAAAAATTACAGAACAAGGACTCAAGGTAGCTTAGCTCTTCGGAATGGAAACACATGAGTTGTTACGACTTGATAACGTGAAGTTAATAATGCTTAATCTGATGAACCGTCAGCTTGTTTCACATTCCAGGTACTTTAAAAAAAATATTTGTGAATCAAAGTAGTAGGTTTGCCAAATATCATAATGATTACTTACTTTTCAACACAACTCGAGCGAAAGATTGACACTCAAAGTACTTATTTCATAAATCCACGTCTGTGATACAGATTGATCGTATTATTGAGTTGAATTTAAAAAACCTGCTTTATATTTAGTATTATATACGGTAGCAAGAAAGCCGCAACATAAATATTTATTACGCACCAAAACAGTCACCGGGAACGGTCGGAATCAACCCGGCTCAGATTTGATGCCAAATAGAAATATAATAAAAGGGCCACGCCGCAAACTTTTTATTTCTCCCAAGATTATACGGTGAAGAGATAATTTCAGTACGGAATTACCATAACAAAGCGGGCAAGTTATTTGATACTCCACAGTACTACTTAGCCTTTCACGTTTTCCACGTAAAGTAGGCATCCGATTTTTTGCGCTGAATTCAGATTTGCATAATAGCTAATTCTGGTCAATTTCGGAGCTCTAGATTATTTATATTCGGTGTTATTGCCTTTGCATTAGAATCTAAAATCGTTTGATTTCACCAACGGGTCCGACGGACGTCATAAAAATATATATTTTGAGTTGAGTTGTAACGGATAATTCGGTTAATGTTTTCGCCGCGAATATCCAGGATTTTTTTTATTGTGTGTATAAAATATTATAGATGGTGCGGTGTACCTTTCAAACCTACATTTAGATGAATATAGAATTCGTTTTTAGTCCGCTTTTAGTAAATTTGAATATTCTAAGTAGAGTACAATTAAAATAGCACTAAATATGTCATTTATATTATGTAAAATGTAAAAAATACTTTGTGTTTTGTTAAATGGCGTCGGAAATGTTTTATTATTTTGACCACAATAAAAAAAAAGTAATTTTAGTAATGGTATCATGGAGGAAATTCCCAGTACCCCTGACAGTCTAAAGTATAAGTCAGTCAGATTTAAAATATAAAAATATCTAGTCACAGTGTCTTATCTTTAAATTATTGGTGTACATTTGGTAGGCCTGAGAATAGGTGGTAGGCTATTTGTTATACCTCTTACTGATAAGAGTGTCAAACTGACGAATATCTTTTGAAAAAGAATATACCATAACAGAATATATAAATACCAGAGCCTTATGTTGAGAACACTCTTTTTCAAGTTCTTTGATATATTTATACATTGATCGCTTTTGTTGTTGAGGTAAATATGACACAAGTTCAATATAAGAATGTATTGAAGCAATATTGTTCACAAGAATCTTGGAGTGACTCATTTTATTCTCTATTTATTACCCGAAATAAATCCGTATGTAAGCTGATAAAGGCTTGGATTACATAAAAATGTTGAGTGTTGTAGCCTATTTTACTCTCCTACTCGAAGAAGTCAAGGTAAATTCTGGTTGACATCAAACTTTGTTTTAACATTCTGTGGGTTATGAACACCGGTAATGAAGGATATGTGTTTGTTACATTTCATAATTTTATTTAGATTTATAAATTCTTGTCAATTCTTCTCCTCTCGAAATCATTCCGAACTGACGGTAGATTTGACATATCATAAGAGTCTGTAATAGACCTACATGAATAAAGATATTTTGAATTCGAATTTGTATTTTGAATCTCATCTGGTTGAGTACTAATATATGCCAGTTTAGCACAACACTGGTTTCCCTGGAGGCGGCTGACCCCAAATCAATCCTAGAGAAGGCAGCCTACCGCCTCTTGCCGCGTTATATTAAAACATCCTCCTAAATATATATATATATATATATTAAAACAACAAATAATATATTTGTTTTTGTAAAGAGTTGTTCACTACTTTGACAATTGGCAATGCATCTAATGACTACCGGGGCCAAATGAGTTTTTAAAACACACAGAAACCCATGAAATACCAATATTTTCTAATTGCCCAATTCTTTCAAAACACTTCGACCGATTTACAAAAAAAAAATAAAAAGAACCGATTTAGTTCTTATAAATCAGTCCAACCTTTTCGTAGGAGTTAAATGACAAACACACGTATAGACTAATTATATATATTACTAGTAAACCAACGAAACTTCGTCCGCGTCATATATTCGCCGTTTAGACAACATTTTTCGTTGCAGCTGCGCTATTGACCGTAATGTGATATTATAGCCTATAACACTAAAAAATAATGTGGCTTTCTGTTGGTAAAAGTATTTTCTAAATCGGTTCAGTAGATCTAGAAATTACCCCGTACAACATCACAAACTTTACCTCTTTATAATATTAGTATACATGATATATACGCCCTAATACTAGATGTATATGTATTTATATTGATGGATATTATTAAAATATCTCCGCATTTTGATTATATCCTCGGGATAATGTGTTTAGTCGATCATGGTCAGCCGAGCCCTCGTATGTTTTGATTGACGACACGTTGTGTTGTGACAGGGGTAATAAATGATACAGTACACCGCTCCCGCTCACGCCCGACGAGCTGCTGTCATTTTGTCACAGTGACGAGACGGAGCGTGTGACGTGACAACGAGCACGTGACAATATACCGTCGTCGTGACATAACAGAATCGAACATGGTGGTCGTCAAAATACCACAGAATATATAGCAGCCGTGTTCGTTCATAACGTTAAATTTCAAATTTGGAATTCTATTCTACTCTCACGCTTTCTAATAAAATTCTAGGTTCGCTTCAAGTTTTTGGAAGGATCACCCTGAACGTGGTGTTTCTTCCTATTATCAAATAGTAAGTCAAAAAAATTAACGTGTAGTCTAAAATTTGAGTTTTGCTTCCTAATCTGTAGCACACTTTTTTTACATTTTAAAGTTAAACGGTTAAACAGATCTTAATGCTATTTATCTATCTATGGACATAGGTTTCCTTTTATAAAAGGCAAACAAAGTCATGTGTAACCGCTAACGGTCTATTTATTTTGTAATTAAATTTGTTTTACTTATTTATGTACAAAGGAGTACTGTATATCCATATAACATGATATACAAAGCAGCCTGTAATACCCGTACGTCCGTCATGATCAAACGTATAATCAAATGAGTGACAACCAGGGAGAGTGTAGAGAGGCGTACACATTATGTCTCGCCAGAGGCGAGTCTCACGCAAGACATTTAGCGTACCGTCTTGTACAATGTGTAGGGTTCTTTTGAATGATGAATGATGTTGCAATTAAAATTCAGTAACGATCGAGGTATCTAAATAATGAATATTTTAATGATTAATGATTTTATTGGAATAAAATCTTTTTATTACGGTATAGGCTATATATGAGGATGATGATGAAGCTGTTGTTGAGTGCTTTATCCCCGCTTTCATGATGGATTGAACATTATATATATATGTCATAAATACTGTATTTCGTGATGATCGGATCTTTAATTCAATATTTTTTTCTATTTAACCCACTTGTGCATTGTTTTTCTATTCGCATTTTATGTTATCCAGAGAATGATAAAATGTGTAATATACTTTTTTATATATCTGTCTCCTTACGAATATATTATCTTCTCTTTTTTATATTTCACTCGAATGGCAAACAAGCTGACGGTGGATCTGATGGAAAATGATTCATACATGAAAACCACGATGACGAAAGATACTGCGTTGTCCTGTAGATTCTTCACCGTTTTCATTCTTCTGACTTTGTACCCTGTATTTTCACTGCCATATCTCTACATTTAAGCCGAACACAACTTACAAC